CTGTGATCAGTATCTCTAGTCTCCCCCCCCCCACCATTTCCTTATTTTTATAACTAGTTAACAACCCTATTCAAGCAGCTTCAGGCGGAAGTAGTGTTGAAACTTTTCATTCTGCACCAATTCCCTTGATCTATATCACCCTCTCCAACTGCTACTGGTGAGAAGCCAGAAAACTCAGAAGCTCCAGCTTCTGTGCGGGTTATTGTTTTGGTTTCTTATTACGCTATGCATTTTTGTATTTTTATATTGTAAACTGCCCTGTAATCTTCCGATGAAAGGCGATATAGACATTTAATTAATAATAACTACTGCAAACTGTGGCTGCCAGAATATATTGGCCAGTGAAATCATACTACAGTGGTACCTCTGGTTGCGGATGGGATCCGTTCTGGAGCTCCAGTCAGATCCTGAGGTTTTCGCAACTGGAGGTGCCTGTTATGTGCATGCGTGAAGCGGGAGAGCACTTCTGTGCATGGTGAAACCCGGAAAAATACTTCTGGGTTTGCCATATGCGTATCCCAAAGGATACGCAACCAGAAGTGCTCGTAAGTAGAGGCACCACTGTATACCAATACTGGTCGCCTATTTACTTCTGGGCCTAAAGTGCTCATCTATATAGACCGAAATAGCTAGGATTGCCTCTCCTTATATAATTCAGCCCATGTCTTAAGAGTTCTTCTCCACAGTCCACTGCTGGGTGAGACTGTTAACCAGTTAAGACAGGTCAATTCCATATAATATTGCTTCTCTTAGGAAACGTATGTGTCCTAAGAACATACTAATGGAATCACAGTTCAGAAAAGATACATGGACCATTATTGTAATTCTATAATATCCAAGTCCTTTAGGGCAGAGGGAGCCAACACGGTGCCCTCCAGATGTCTGGGACTAGAACTCGCAGCACCCCTAACATCTGTATTGTGTGTGTAATTGCTGTTATTTTTTTAGATATGCAATTTGTGTGTTTGTGTGTGTGTTTATTGTGAAATCCCCTTGAGATGCTTCATAGGAAGCAATATCATCATCATCATCATCATCATCATCATCGTGGCGGCTCCTAGTCATGTTGTCTATGCTCTACGCTTTGCCCCCAGAATTGGGGGCAATATGCTTCTGACTACCAATTGCTGGAAACTGCAGGTGGGGAGAGTGCTCTTTCTTGGTCTCTGCTTGCATGTTTCCTATGGGCATCTGGCTGGCTACTATGAGATGGATTAGATGAGCCACTGGCCTGATCCAGCAGGCTCCTCTTATGTTCTGAAGGGCTGCTGTTAAGAAAAAGCAAAGGGCCAACTATTTCAGTGCAACCCTGCCCAGTGGATAAATTATAATTCACAATTCTAAAGGGGATGCAACTAACAGGCACAGTAGCAGGTCTGGCAGCACATTCCTTATGTAAGATGCCGCTGGAACGATGCTGGATTAAGATAAACTTTGAGCTACAAAAACTGCACGTTGGCTGCTCTTACCCCTTGGGGCAAGTGTGGGAATATCAAACTAAACAAAAATTCAAATATCTTTAATACGGTCAATGACCAGCAAAATCAAACTAAACATATAAATGCATAAATCTAAAGAGCAATGTTCTTTATAACAGCTCAAACATATTCAGTGATGTAGAACTTCATAAATAAAACAAAGAAAATAATGTTAAAGTACTTAGATTAACAAAGCTGTGGTTACATATTTGGACAAGTAATTGGAAAAATACTGTGTGTCAGAGATCCCATTTAAATAGTTTAATTAAGAAATAGTATCTTTGATGTATTCCAGTACCACTGATACATGTGCATGCATGTGTGTGTACACATACCTCTAGAAACAGACAAAAATAAAAAAAGATTTTGCAATTATTTCTATGGTAAACAATTACTTTTTTCCTCTCTCATCTCCTAACTTAAGCACAAGTTGTTTTGATTCATATGAAGAAACGTCAAAACTTTTTATATCCTTTTTGCTCTCAGTAAGATGGATCCACCTCACCTATTACTGGCTTCTCCATTTAGCTTTTTCATTTTTAATTACTCTTTGAATACTGTGAAAGAAGGTGCATGATTACATTATGGTTCAGTTCACAAGTAATGCTAAACCAAGCTATGGCTTAGTGTGAATGTGAGAGCCCCTGGACAGGAGATTGTGTCTGTTTTCTTCCTTTGGTCTTGCTGATTCTGCACTGCTATGAGCTCAGTCACTGTATATTATGCTCTAGGAGGCTTAGTTTGGTCCGAATCAAGTATACACTTCCAGAGTTAGCACTAAATACTTCTGGTAAATGAGCCTGGAAGGCTGTGAAATTTGTGCCCCAGGTTTTTTAGTCTACACATGTGCTATCTGAAACCAAAAGGACACATTGGTTGACTGATGTGAATTTTTTCTCAGCTCTCCTACCCCACTGTCTAAAGGAGAAGGCAGAAACAGGGGCAGTGCTGGGGAAAGCAAAGTTTTTGTGAGGGGAAATCGATGGACCAAGAGAGGAAAAACTCATGGAAGAGGACTGTTTTCTGGGCAAGGGAGCCGCAGTTCCAGAGAAAACAAAAGGCAAGCAGGGAGGGGGCAAAGCAATGAATATGGGGAAATTGGACTGGTGGAGAGAGAGGAGGAGGGTTCGTGTGTTACTGCTGTGTTAGCAACCAGAGATGACCCAGGCAAGAGAGATAGTGTTCTGTTTTTAATTAGACCAGCTGCTTGCCTAATAAGAGATACACCACAAAAACAATGACATTTGCAGCTCTGTCTTCTTTTACATAAATAACTGATTCTGCAGGACTTAGTTCCCATGGTGAAGACTTTGGAGTAGATAACACTGTCCTGTAACCTCAATTCACCTTAGCCGACTAGTATAAGCTTTTGAGAGATAATTAAAAAGAGTGTTAGAAACTCAGATATATAAGCTAGGCACAAATGGGTCCTTAAAACAAGGTTACAGTCGCCAAAAGGGAATGTTTAGTTGTCATTTTTGGGCAAGACGGCTTTAAAGTCTTATTTTTCAAATGATGGACTGACTGTGATTGATTCTCAGATAAACATCTAGCTAGTTCAGTTGACAACCTTGAACTAGGTTAAGAGCTTTGAGAACTTGAAAAGTCATTTGATCCAGGGACAGCCTATATACTCCGACCTCTTTTTCTTAATGGTGACTGCTCCTGCTCAGGCTGCACAGAAAAAGCAAATTTGATCCAGAAATTCATTCCAATTGTGCAGATAAAACATAACTGATGGAATTCTACAGGGTTGGGTGTTAGTGTGTGAAAACAGTCCGGATCCAATGATCCTCAGCCATGTACTTTCAGATGGTAGAGATGTCAGGCATCATTCTGGCACCCAGGCATCATCCAAAATAAGAACCAAAGCCCAAGAATATTAAAAAAGCAATGTCCTAAAAAGTGCTATTCAATTTCAGGAGAGCTTTCCAACAGTATCTTGTGGATCCTGAGGGGTAAAGTAGCCCCATGGTGGTTCCTCTAACCACAAACGGACGTGGAAATTGGCTGTGTAAAAGCTGGTGTAGGAAGATTTAGTCATCATACAAAAGAGATCTATTACAACACAAAATTATGTTTTCAGGAAAGATTAGAAATAGCAGACACTACAGTTTAAGCAAACACACACACCCCTTCAATTTTTATAACAGTGAAATGTAAGTAAATAATTAGGTAACTTGTCTTAAAGTATTAATGCTACTGAATATCATGGGAATTTTCACTGTTTCCTCCTAAATTGTTCTTTATGGTATGACCCGAGGCAGCTCTGCATTAAGAATGGACAAAAATGAAATTGAATTTCTAGGCAGTATTGAATATTTTATGTCAGTTTGAATGATGCTTACCCTGTATTGATGGAAATTATTTCTATCAGTGGGTTCTTTCTAATCTTTGGCAAATCCAATCGCGCTCCCCCCAACCGTTTTCCATTATCCTTTTTCTGACCCAGCAATCTCACAGAGTGACCTTCAAATAAAGGGGAAAAATGGTACCATTATACATAAAACTCATTTGTTTTAATATATTCTACTCAAATATTTTGCATTTTGTTAAACAAAAATAGACCCAGGAGTCTTCTGGTAACCAACAACTTACCAAGTAAAGGAAAAGCCAACATTAAAATTTGTTGTTGTTGTTGTTATTAAGCGTAGCTCCTTTCATTGTATCTTGTTCAGCTATTTGACAAAAGCAAGTCAATCCATTTTAAAAGCCAAATTCCCAAGAAACAGCATTTTGATTATAATTACTGTAAAAATATTACTATTGAGTTTAAGGGTGTTGTTGTTCCCTTTTGAACAGTATTAGACCACAAACCCAAAGTTCCAGGCAGTATGCTTGAACTGATGGGTGTCAGCTTGAGCAAGAATTTCCATTAAGTTCTCACAAAGTAATGCAAAAAGATTCGGATGAGGGAACATTTTCACAATTCAGCCCAGCTTGTTGTGCTTCTCACGTATAATACTACTGACATGTGAGCACTTTATTGGAATTTATGGCTCCATCTGTAGCTTAACTGAGCTCATTCAGAAGCAACTGCATATTGACTTCAAAATATTCAAACACAAATATTCAGAAAGCTCCTTTTCCATAATTCTAGACACATTGTTTCAGGTCACCCAAATCAAAGTGAATGCTTTGGGGGGGGGGTAGCTTTGCAAAATACTGAGTTACAATTTCTAATTAAATGTTAGAGAGAGAGAGAGAGAGAGAGAGAGAGAGAGAGAGAGATAGTGTGTGTGTGTGTGTGATTTCCAATAATGGATTGGAATTGGCACCTACCATGGTAATAATAATAATCTTATTTAAAATGTAAAGGTAAATAATCAAGATTAAAAAGCCCAACCAATCTGAGTAAAGCTCTCTGCGGACAAACTCCAGCTCCTTTAGCCTAAAGTGAGATGAGCACCAACGGAACTTAATCAGCCAGGGGTCCTTTTCCTTTACCCTTTTTTACATACAGTCAAACCTTTATTTCATGTTGGCATAGCAAGTGCTAACTTCATTTCATTCATCATATCTCCCACTGGATAGCTCAGCTGGTTAGAGTGCGGTGCTGATAATACCAAGGTTGCAGGTTTGATCCCTGCATTGCTGGGGGTTGGATTAGATGATGCTCAGGGTCCCTTCCAACTCTGATTCTATGATCAGTAAGACCATAGTCCAGAATCACCTGAGTGTACCACTGTGCCTGAACATGCAGCACCTTCCTTCCTTCATGGCATGTTTTAATGAAATGGAGGAGTCTCCAATTAACCATTGTTTCCATTTCATCTGAACCATGAAACTATGGTTATTACCATCTGTGGAACAACTGTGGGACTGAAACCATCCTTTGAAGTTAGTTTACGATCCTGGTTTGTTCCAAAGTTGGTAAGCATAATTTCCCTGTGCAGATAAAACAAACTTGGAGACTTCAGGACTGCCAAAAATGGAGGAGGGGAAGGGCCTGCATACACAGGAAAAAGACTCATACATAACTAAGCTTATTAATATGATCATCCATGCCCAGCCATTAAGTCAGTCATTTAAATTTAAAATGTGACTTGTTTCTTTTGCAGTAGGAAAAGCTGAGGAGGCAAAATCATACTGGCCCTTTATATTGAAAGTTACAGAAACATTATTTTAAAAACCATTTCTTCATTCGCAGGTTTTCCCAAGGCAGTAGAAATGGCCTTAAGTTACATATGCAAACAAGCAACATTACTAATTACTAATTAGGGGTCTGTACTGACCGCAAGACTCAATTTGTACTGTAATTTGGTCTGAACTGATCTGGAAGCAATCCAGTTTTGCTAGGGGTCTGCAGCCAAATCCCAATTTGCAAAAATTAAGTGTCAAACTTCCCCATTCACTATTATGGGCAAATTAAAATGAAACATTACAGCATTTTCCCCAGTGTGGTGTAGTGGTTAAGAGTGGTAGTCTCGTAATCTGGGGAACCGGGTTCACGTCTCTGCTCCTCCACATGCAGCTGCTGGGTGACCTTGGGCCAGTCACACTTCTTTGAAGTCTCTCAGCCCCACTCACCTCACAGAGTGTTTGTTGTGGGGAAGGAAGGGAAAGGAGAATGTTAGCCACTTTGAGACTCCTTAAAGGGAGTGAAAGGCGGGATATCAAATCCAAACTCCTCTTCTTCTTCTTATTGACAGAACTGCATGAAATTTGTAGACATAGTCACTTCTGACATATCAGAAACAAATTGTCACAGTATTTTTATTTTATGTGATGATTTTTATCTACCCACCCCAATGGCAAATGAATTGTCTGTAATTTTAATTTTTTTGGGTATGGTAGCCACACCTGAGGAGATGAATCCTGCCAAGTTTCAAAAGGATAAATGCAGTGATTTTCCTACACAGATAGCCTTTACAGTTTGGAGGATGTGAGGGGAAAAAAGTATGCATGAGAGATTTTCCTTGATAAGAAACCTGCCAAAATACTGATAAATAGGACCAGGAATTTTCCTGCTATGTATATTTAACACTGATTTTGGGGAGGGGGTATTTAAAGTGTTTCGCTACCTGCTCTGTGGTTTTAGTGGGCAATAATTTTATTATAAAAATAACACAGGGCTGCCTCTGAGAAAAGAGTCCACAAAATTTCAAAATGATAACAGAATTTTAGGGACTTAAAATTTAAAAAGAGCTTTAGGTTTTTGTATGGCTCAACTAAGGTCAAAGCTGATTTGAAAGGAGTGGGTTTGTGGGACAGAAGCAGAAGGATATGAAAGTCCAGCATTTTCCAAGCAAGCACTAATAGAAGAACTAGCAAAACTAGCAAAGAGCATTGTGACTGGAGAGCCCTGGTAAAATCATTCCCTCTTTTTAGAAGATAGATCTCTCAGTCACAAAAGAACTTTCCCTTCACCACCTTTCCTCATCCTGTTAATTTCCTTATAAAATGATACGCTGAGGGAGAAATGTCTCATTTTTTGAAGGCACACCGTCTGCAGCACTTTTGAAACATCTGATTCCACCAGTTGTCCCAAACTGCTTTGGAGGTCCCTGCTTCAACTTAGGGCACGTCAGAGAGATCCCACTTCACCCTGCACAAGTTTTAAATCTGTCTGAAGTGGCCCACTTTGTTTCAAGATATACCGGTATATGAATCTGCTCTATGCTCCTACTGCTTATAATGCAATTGTGCAGAGGTTGTTCGGGGTGGCAAATTGTTTTCACCAAGATGTTCCTACCAGCAATCACCATTAAAAAAAATACAACACTCTACAGTGGTACCTCAGGTTAAGTACTTAATTCATTCCAGAGGTCTGTTCTTAACCTGAAACTGTTCTTAACCTGAAGCACCACTTTAGCTAATGGGGCCTCCTGCTGCCGCCGGAGCTCGATTTCTGTTCTTATCCTGAAGCAACGTTCTTAACCTGAAGCACTATTTCTGGGTTAGCGGAGTCTGTAACCTGAAGCGTATGTAACCTGAAGCGTATGTAACCCAAGGTACCACTGTACTGCTAAAATTACTGGAAGTGAACACTGGAAGAACTGCATGGCTAGCTCTTTTATGTGACCAGATTGCTCCACAAAGCACCTAACTTGCCTTATAACGGGCCACACCACCATTGTTTACATTTGTGAGTCAAGACAAATGTAATAGTATCATGGCAGTAACACACGGAATTCTTCCACTGATGTAGCACTGAAGACAAGAAAATCAATTGGCATGCCAGCCTTTTCAGAGTTGGCAAGTAAAACTTTTAGTCAAAAATTCAGTTTAATTAAGAGGTAAAACACCATTTTATGTTAAGAGTATTACACCTATCATAGATGTCAAAAAGTTCAATAGCATCTAGAAAAGGCCTGTTATTTTCATACCAGCAAATGCCAAGAATTCCATTATAACCTACTGTGATTTCAGTAATACATGGACTCTGCTAATAGCATTCACTCAATTATTCATTTCCACTGTATCACACTAATAATAGCAATATTGCCAACTGATGAGACAATTATTTGCCCATACTTTTGTTCTTTAAGTATTCTTGGATTTAACAATATGCATACTACTTTAAAATTCAGGTAAATTAAATCCAGCTAAACATCAAAAAGAGCTTTCTGACAGTAAGAGTTGTCAGATAGTGGAACAGACTCCCTTGGAAGGTGGTGAACTCTGCTTCACTGGAGGTTTTTAAGCAGAGGTTGGCTGGCCATCAGTCATGAATGCATTAGTTGAAAATGCAGGGGTTGGACCAGATGACTCTGTGCTTACCTATATCTGTGCTGGATTGTGGCCTGTGGGAATATGAGTGAAAGTTTACAAAATGGTCAAGAATGAATTTATTACTCTCTATTTAAGGTCTAAAATTATGAAACAACTTCACTGGAAATATAAGAACGCCTAGTTCAGTCCATTTCAATACATTGGGTTGGATCCAGACTTTGGCAAGCTTAGTCTAGACACACTGAAAGCTGACAGGGCTTAAATTAATGTTTATTCCTGTTGATTTGAGTCTACTATTAAACCTGACTAAAGGTACAATCCTAATCCCCTGATGGTGATGGCTGTGGGCATTAGGATAACATGTAGGCCCAAAGCTGTGCCCTGAAAGCTGCTACCAGCTTTTCTGCTGTGGTAACACGCAGAAAGCCCTAATCTATGAGATCCAAAGCTCCATGGATTCATCAAGGGGCTCAGTTCCTGTCTCCTTCCTTGTGGCTGGCAGGATTCAGCATAACATTACATGCATTAGAGTCTCTACCCCTCTGCACTTCCCCAGATCCTATTAGGATTGCTCTGCATGTTTGGATCCAGTCCAGAGTTGGACTGGTTAATGACTGATATTTTGAAGAGTTTTAGGGGTATGACCTACTGGAAGCCTAGTAGAGGCAAAAATTCCATGCTCCAGCTTCCTAACCTAACTATCAATACATAGTTTTACAGAGCTGCACATAAATAGAATCCTTCCCTTTAAAAAATAAAAAAGCTATTTTCAAAAGCTAACATACTGAGTTCCTTTTGTAATGCTGTTATCTGTGATCTCTTTTGTAGCGAATTCAAGTGTAAGTAAGAAAAAGTTATGTTACGAATCTTAAAATGATGCATGATTGGGTAGGGAAAGCTTTTAAAAAGGCATTTCATCTGAATAAAGGGAGGTGCTATCTGCCAGCTTCAGAAGCCAGCAGATAAGTGAACTCTCAAGGGAAACCAAAACACAGTCATTTGATATGCTGAACACATGGCATGTTTTTCAGTGTTTTACAACTGTTATACACTGAGCTGGATCCAGAGCAAGTTAGTCACAGTTAAGATCCCATCTACATGAAGTGTTAGTTCATCTTCCCTCACAATCCATTTTTCCTATGTGTTGTGACTTTTAGAATCTAAGTCTGCCAACGGGGATTATCTTGTTTGTTATTGGTCTCTTGTGAGTTTTGAGGGACCAAAAAGCAACCTAAAATGCAATCAATCAGTGTGATTAATATTAGGATTCAAGCCATTCTCTATTCCGAACAACAGAGCAGAACATTTGGTTGCTGCCCGAGAAAAAGACAACAAAATTACCATGTGAAGGGCACTGAATATCAGATTTCAGATTAGAGCAATGTTGATATTGCTGCTACTGTTTACAACCAGAAGCACATGGACTCGTGACAGTGCATTGCATGCAAATATGCCAAGCACCCTCTTGCTACACAAAACCCAGAAGCACTAAAGGAAGACGGCAACTTGCTTCACATAATTGTTATAGCCACACACTGAGGAGGAAGAAAAGGCAGAGGACAGCGGGGGCAACTTCCTTTTCCAGCTATACCTATTAGTCTTAGGTAAATTAAGAGTGGAACAGTTTATCTGAAGATACTGTACTTTCAGTTGTTTTATCTGAGCAGCAACTTTGTTCAATAATGTCCATCATCAAGGTGAAGAGGAATTCAAGGGAAGGATGAGTAACATATAAGTAAACTCCAAGCTTTTTTCCTCCTTCTTTCTCTCACAGTGAATAAGCCAAAACAGATGGACAACCCACTAATTAGTGGGAAAATGGTAAGAACTATTTCACAAAGTCAAGTAATTAGCATTATGCTTGCCTAAAAACTTCAAACTAAAGCAAAAACTATTTTCATATGACCATGATCACCACTTTTTAATTTTAATAGCCCTAAGAAACAGACCATTAAAAATAATGGAATGCCTGGGCATTCCACCACCAGTCAGGCCAGAAACTCTCTCGAAGTCAGCATGCTATAAACACCCATTGTAGGGAGCGCATTTCTCATTATCTGCTGAAAAATTCAAAGAAGAGGAAAGACTTCCAACGTTGACCAAGTGAAATGTGTGCAGCTTGAGAAAGAAAGTAAGAGTGGAAGAAAACAAGGGGAAAACATGCCTAAATTGGTTAAACCAACTACTCAAGCAAACGATAAAGCTTATATTGAACATAAAGCCATCAGACATGACAACTCTCTCCCCTGTCAAGCAAGGGAAATAAATATAAATCTGGTGAATACTGTGAGAGACAGTACTGGATTCATACCATCAAAATGTATTGCAACTGTCATAACATGAAAGGGAAAAATTGGTTGTCTGTATAAACCCTCTCTCACTACAGAATGCTGTTTGGCATACCTCTTTCTGCTTAAGCTTTCTGTTTAGTATTAATTCAATTAATAAGCAATCCACTCTTGTTATTCACCTAGTGAATAAATATTGTATTTAATATTTTTCATGTGACTAATGAACATCAACAAGAAAGGCTACACAGAGCGTGTCATTGGCTGCCCACACTATGGCCGTGATATGGTGAGAATGTCTAGATTTAAAAAGACAAGCTATGAAAACTTTTACCGATGAACACAACTCCTCTGATCCTCCCCTCCCACTAGCTGTAATTAAACCGGGAAGTCTCTAATTAACTATAGTTCCTCAGTGCTCCAACTAAACACATATGTAACATCCTCTTTTTTGATCTGGAATTGGAGTTTGAATATTCACACCATCAATTCAAAGTTACCCACTATCCTTTCCATCTCTTTTGCTAAGGTTTTTTGGGTAGATGGGAGCACATCATTTGTCCTCCCATTCCACCAATATCTTTTATATAAAACTCTCCCATTAATAACACTACCTCCAGTAATACCCACTATGACAATGTCTACTTTTTCTAATTGTACGACTGACCAGATTCCCATAAGCTATGTAGAACGTATCTTCCTCTCTTCTCCAGTGTTTCATTTCAATGCCAGTTCTATTATTATGTTTCAAAGATGTTAGTGTTTTATTTTAAAGCTTAATTTACTAGTTTTATTTAATTTACCATGGCTATAGAAAGTTTAAAAGGAGAGCATCCTTCCATATTCTGGAGTAGAAATGGAAGTAGGAAGTAACAAGTTGACTGAATGCACACATGAGTGACTGATGGGTTTTTACTACTTAGATTTCACTACCATATAGGAAGAAATATCCAGTGATTTTAAAACATTGAGTGTGAAGAAATTATATGACTATTTTGCTACATGGACATGCAGCAGAAAGCTGAAATAAAACCTAGGTTTTTCAAAGCATGCACACGTGACAAAATATATACGTGCTTCTTCACACATTGATTGTACATGCTTTTTTCAAAGGACAGTGATCTCACTGTTAAAAAAATGTATTGCGGAAAACAGCCCACAGAGAATGTGAGAGAGCACTTTGATACTTCTACCCTTAACCACCCTGAAATAAATATTATGAAGGCCATTACATAAATATTGAAACAAACAAACTGCTAACAAACACCATGCCAGTAAAAGCATTATTCATTAGGCTATACAACACACACACAAATCACATAAGCTTTTAGCAATCAACAATAATAAAATAGGCTGGTAGCTAGCAGTTAGCAAACATTAGTTAATATTTAAACTAGGAACAGATAGACCACATTACTAGACACATTAATGTGACTGAAACTTAGTAAGCGTATATGAAGTCTGAAAAGTCCAGCATCATTGAAGTTATTTCCTTTGACTTGTTTTCAACAATCCTGTCCAGTGACCCATTTCACAAAATGTTTTGTGAAATACTCTAGACTGAAACAGTTTTTGCTCAGTCACAAAGTCTAGTTTCCCCTTAATCCCATAGGAGTGCACTTTATATGCATGATGGCATTTGATTTTCCTGCAGGAAGCTAATTAATTTGATTTAAAATATTTAAGCCTAATAGTGTTTGCAGTATTAAAGTATCAAAAGAATCTGACATAATTTTGTGTCAACAAACAACAATTGAGCACTCTCTTGTGGCATGAAGCAAATGCCCTCACAGGACCTCCAATCTTGTGGACCTCACAGGACCAGATATCCCCAGTGTTGCCATGATGGCACTGGCAACAAGGGCAGAATCAAAAGTACATTCTCCATTATGCTTCATTATCATGTCTTCATCAGAGTCTCTTCTTTATATGCCTCACCTGAGAGAATAGCAGAAGGTAGCCACATGAGAACAAACCTTTCTAGTGGTGGCCCCGTCTGAAGAATGGCCTCATCAGGGAAACGCACCTGGCACAATCAGTTTTTAGGCATTAGGCTAACACCTTTTTATTCACTTACGCCTTGGGTAGCTAAGCTGGCCTCTAGAGCTGACTCTAAGCCGGCTCATCTTTTAGCAGGGTGGGTAGGTTTGCTATTATTATGTCATTGGACAAGCATTTTAGGCATTTGTATCATAAACTGCTTCAAATTTTCTGGCTTTGTTTTTATTGGTTGTATTTTATCTTCTTAAGACACTATGGGACTCTTTTTGTAAAATGCAGCAAGTGTAAAAGGTAAAGGTAAAGGTACCCCTGCCCGTACGGGCCAGTCGTGTCTGACTCTAGGGTTGCGCGCCCATCTCGCTCAAGAGGCCGGGAGCCAGCGCTGTCCGGAGACACTTCTGGGTCACGTGGCCAGCGTGACTAAGCGGCATCTGGCGAGCCAGCACCAGCGCCGCACACGGAAATGCCGTTTACCTTCCTGCTATTTATCTACTTGCACTTAGGGGTGCTTTCGAACTGCTAGGTGGGCAGGAGCTGGGACCGAGCGACGGGAGCTCACCCCGCCGCGGGGATTCGAACCGCTGACCTTGCGATCAGCAAGTCCTAGGCACTGAGGTTTTACGCACAGCGCCACCCGTGTCCCTTGCAACAAGTGTAATAAATAATAAAAACAAACAAACGTGGCAGTATAAAAGTGCTGAGATTCTCAGAATGATACTCTGTATGGGACTGTAAGTTGTTAGGCAAGAGTGAATAAAAAAATAATCTATAGAATCATTATTTCAATGATCATTGAGGATTCAGTGAGCATGGAACTTTACAAAAAAGAATGCAGTTCCCTTCCCCAAATATCTTAAATACTAAACACAAATATAGCTTTTCTTCTACTGGACATGTACCGTATTTTTCGCCCTATAGGGCGCACCAGCCCATAGGGTGCACTTATTTTTTTGGGGGGGGGATAAACAACCCCCCCCCGAGCCCCAGAGCAAAGAAGCCATGACAGTGAGAGGGATGGATCCCGCTAGCTGTCTTGGCTTCGTTTTTAGCCTTGGGGCTGGGGGTCCGGGAGCGAAGGCGAGGTTGCGCTGAACCTCGCCATCGCTCCTGGAGCTTGCAGGGCTGGGGGCAGGGGAAGCCCGAGCTTCCCCCGACCCCAGCCCCCATAACGGGTCCGGGTGCGATGGCAAGGTTGCATTCAACCTCGCCATCGCTCCCGGAGTTTGCTGCTATCCAAAGCCCGGGGAGCGCGGCGCTGTAGCCCGCTGCACACCCCGGGCTTAGGGCAGCTATCCGCAAGCCTGCGGCGCCCGGCGGGAACTCCCGCAGGCTTGCAGATAGCTGCCCTAAGCCCAGGCTGCACAGTGCACCCCACCCCGGACTTCGGGCTGCAGGCAGCTATCCGCAAGCCTTTGGAGCCCGTGGGAGTTCCCGCCGGGCTCCGCAGGCTTGCGGATAGCTTCCTGAAGCCTGGAGAGCTAGAGGGGTCGGTGTGCACCGACTCCTCTCACTCTCCAGGCTTCAGCCAAAGCCTGCATTCGCCCCATAGGATGCACACACATTTCCCCTTCATTTTTGGAGGAGAAAAAGTGCGTCCTATAGGGCGAAAAATACAGTACTCATGATCAGATTGTGAAGTAAGTCATATTGGCCAATTCCCATTGGTATGCAGCCACACATATTCCAAATCAATAAGTCACAAATAGGCAATAAAATGAACAGTGATCTCCTGGAAGTATTTCATATCATGAAATAGTAGTAAAAGAAGCACTGAGGGGCGGGGCAGGGTGGGGAAGAGAATGACCAAAGATCTAAAATTGTGCATTTCTATATTGATATGGCTAAGTTTTCTACAGATTTTTCTAATATATTCAGCATATAATGTTTACAGTTCAGTCATTATTTACAATACATACATGATATATTTCAACAGTAATGCTCCTTATGGGGTCTATGTGTTCAAAGTCAGTAATGAGCACTGGAAAGAATGAAGACACAATCATTTCAGGTGAAAAGCTTACCTTTGATAGTCTCCTCAACAACTTCTACGACACGATCTATCTGCTGAACCTGTAAAGATTTAAAAAATTACAATGTGGATATTCTGATGATTTTTGGATGGTTCTCATTCTCTAGGTATTTAATTCACATAGAGAAGAAACATACATTTTGCTGAATCTGTATTATATTTCTGCTTGTAATATAGGAAAGAAAGCATTTTACTCCTGCGTAAGTGGGTGGGGAAACAAATCCTAATGACACAAGCTAGCCATTGCACTCCTTTAGCAATTATCCAAGGTAAAGGCTGGTGTACAGCAACTTATTTCATAATAATAAAGAAACTGAGGTACCACCTTTACTTGTCACAATAATAACTGAATCCAAAGAAAAGATGGGTGCAAGTTTCAGACCACCAAGACAAGGAGCATTTATACAAAGCAGCAAACTGGCATATTAATGCATGAGTAGCAAAGTCGCTTGGTCTGATGGAATTAATAGCAGATTTGGATAAAAAACAGGATGGGACACCAAATCTGGCTACAGATTCAGACTTACACTGCTAACTGCCTCTCCTATAGCAGATTCCTCAGATCAGTAACCCACAAGCAAACACCTACAGATGCCCAGAAAATCCATCACCACCACTTCCCTTGCACAATTGGCCTTGTATAATTCCAATTCTAGCAATGATGACAGGTATGGTGTACATGTACACAAATACACACACACACACACACAGAGAGAGAGAGAGAGAGAGAGAGAGAGAGAGAGAGCAATGCACACACACTTCAGGGTCACCTCCTTTTTGAGTTTTAGCTTGTTGACCTGATCTCTCCACCCACCCCTTAGCTACGTTCTTATATAATATTGCAGTGTTACTTGGGATGTTTATTACCTGCTGAAAGAAGATGGGAGGCTGCTGCTGTGTATCTTGCTCCCCCTGATTGGAAGACAGGTGGGCAATGAGTGATGTATGCCAGGTTTGTAAGATTTCTCCCATTTCCTCTCAAGGGTCTATTTATTATAATGTGGCGTTAATGATAATTTTGTCTGCTGGTTGGCTGACTGCAATGTAAGAAGCGTTTTCTGCCTCAGGATGAGAGCCTGTTGGTGGAATCTGTCCCCCCAAGTAAGAGGTGAGAGGGAGGTTTGTACTCCTAGGTGGGAGAGAGGAGTAGCTTGATCCATGTTTTTTTCTTTTTCTTTGCCACAGAGATTAACAGGCATTCTGAATACATGCCCAGGGTGATTGATGAATATTTTGCGATTTTGCAGTTTTATATTGTGTTTTATATTTATGTTGTGCGGGTACTCTTTTCCTGGCCCCCACATGCATCAGCAGAGGGCATATAAGCACACCCCATTCTGCCTTCTTCTGGGTCCAAAAGGACCCACGCATCAGTGATGGCGCATCAATTGGATGCCCCTATAATGGTCATTGCCTGTATTTATTATACCGGTGTTGCGTATTTCTTTTTTATTAATATGCTGTTCATCGTTCTAGGGCTATTTGGGCCAAAAAGTGGTATATAAACATAACATAACACAACCACATACACACACTTTTAATTGTTTTCTCCACTATATACAACTCCCAGCCTCTAGTTCCAAATTTTGAGGTCAGCTTCTACTACAGTTTCATGTATTTGTTTTCTCTCTGGGTTTGTTTGTTAAACCCCTTTGGGTAGCATGCTTCATTTAACTTTATGTAAAATGCTCATTATATTAATTGAAGCTGATGCTGATAACACGCCTGCCACTAGTTCTCTTCAGTTTGTCAGGATCAGTTTAGTGATCATATATATTCCACCGCCTTTTCTCCTTGCCTCAAACACTAGCAAAAATGACACTTTCAGAATGTTTTATTTCTGTATTTGTCTTAGTTAGAAGTAGTTACAGGTATATAAAGAACCCTAGAAGTGAATGAGTATGCTTGTGCCTGACTTGCAAGCACATATAGGTGTACAAGTCCTTCTGAAGTCATGTTTTGCAGGTGCATTACTGATGCCACAAGTTTGCCACCGCAAATCTGCTCTGCTTAGTTGAGACAGGAGAAAAATCTGAAGAGGGCCCAGCTTATTTCCTGTAAGCTACTCCTGCCTTCGTTCACTAGAGGCGCAAGTAAGCCAAACCCAGTGAAATTACACTGGCAAACGAAACCTCATATTGTTACATTATTAAAACTCTTGCGTTAAAGTTTGAGGCTCAGGTTTTAACAATGCCACATCCATCGTCATCTCCTTACCCCAATGATACTCAGGCCTTGTAGGTAGTCTTGTCGAGGCTGGGCTTGTGGAACACATCCAGCTAGAACAACTTTCTTTTTTTCTTCTTGTGCTTTCCTAAAAGGCATTTTTAAAAGCAAATATTATTTTCCTAGAATGGCGCAGCAACCTTCATATTTCATTGCATTACTTAATATCTTTAAGTAGCATTTACTGAAGAAGCTTACAAAAATGCACCAATTTCATGCTGTAGCTTATCATACCCCAGCTATAGCATTTACTATCTACCAAAAACTGTAGTAGCATACTTGTAAGATGTAATGGCAAAGCTTGGCCTGATGTGATATGTAGTCAATAGATCACCTTCCTGTACACAGATACAATTTATGACAGGGATGGGGAACCTGTAGTCCTCTAGATGATGGTGGGCTACAACTCATCACCTGTGATCTTTTGATGAGTCTCTCTTGGTTGTGCCACAATCTGCTTTTACTCATTAGGTGGCAAAAAGGAATCATTTTCAATTGTGGTATCTGTGTTGTGGAAGAATCTCCCCTAAGTGCTCCTGTAAAAGGTAAAGAACCCCTGGATGATTAAGTCCAGTCCTTGACTATGGGGTGCGGCGCTCATCTTCAGTAAGCCTATTCAGTAGCTTGCTTCCACAAGAAATCAAATCATTTTTATTCAGGCAAGCATTCAGTGGATCTGAACCTATTTTCTGCTGACTGTTTCCCTGTTATTCTGACTCAAGACTCTTGGCTAGGATATCCCAGAGGTTTTGTTGACAACATCAGCAAGCAGTCTCTGCATCAGCCCAGAATTACGTTACAAGGTTCAAAAGGCACAACAGCAGAATCCATGATACATCACAAGGCATAAGCAAAGATGTTCCAACACCTGACCTGCTGCTCCTGCTATACTTTTAGAGGCGTAGAACCCATAATTTGCACAGGTCTGCTTGCAAGCGAGCACTCTAGTTGGAGGGTGGAGGGCTGAGTCTGCACTGATGGCAGTGTGCCCTTGGCAACAGGACTCAAGTCCAACACTTTGGCTGCCTCTGATCTGGCCAGCTGGCTACTAAAGGTGCCTCACTCCCTGGAGGCATGGTGAAACTGGTTTGACTGTCTCCCCCTCCCCAAATGGGACATCCAATGACCCTGGGGCAGAAGCTGCATCCAGATCACTATTCAAACTGTCTCCCCTGCGCCCATCTTAGGGTCCTCCTCTTCCTCTGGCAGAGCTTGCCATTCCTGACTGCAGCTGCCTGGCAACACAGGGTGCATGAAACCAGTTTGCTGTTTTCGTTTACATCTGTGGAATTTTTATTGTATCTTGAGGCTTACATAAAAGTCGGTATGTAAGTTTTTCTAATAGATTGTAAATGAAATAAATAGTCACTGGCAATAGACCATACTAGCCAGGAATTAAAGTCTGACAACAGCTGGAAAGCCACAGGTTCCCTACCCTGATTTATGGTATTTTCTCCAGTCATCATGAAGAAAATATTAGTTTGGGGAATATATAAAAAAGCATTGTTATATTAACTGCATTAGCATAGTGCTGCAAACTCAGATCTCCAGTGCCAAGGAAATGTGCATACCAGTCCTCTGAGCCCCACCCAGTGATACATTGCTACCTCCTGCAAGAAAACCTAATAGGCATTTTTCATGTTCGGTCATGCCATAGCAGTTACGTTGGTGGACATCTTGTGAAAACATTGCTGGTGGCAATTGGAATGGAATTCTACTGGAGTGGCATTTACAAAACAGTGGCTATGCATGAGCCGTCAACGAGGGCACAACAAACCACACTGTATTTCAATAGATGACACTAAATGTTAAACTGTGAATACTGAAACAGTATCCAGAAGTATGCTTTGCCTGTGCATCCATAATATCAACATCAAGGAGATTAGATAATGGGACTGGTATAGTACTAAAGAAAACGACAGCAAGTAAAAGAGAGGATTTTTTACCACCATATATGAGGTTTAAGGAAACCTTATAGGTTTCCTTTTTTTAACTTTCTTTATTTTGTAAAAAAAATCAAAGTATGAAAAAATATTCAGGTAATTTGACATATTTGGTCCAATATTTAATGGCAAAGCAACATGACCTGTTTCTTATAATCATATACCACCACTAGCTGTTATCTCTAAGTTGTAGAATGAACACGTACAGATCCTTCTACTCAAATATCTGCAAGGATAGCAAAGGTAAAACTCTGCTGGTCTCAGCAGAAAAACACATAAATATTTTTTGACATATTATTT